TACAATATCTTTGATAGCTTTCTCTATAGGATTTCAATTGGCGCAAGGTAATTGCTTTCCTCAGAGATATATTTTCGTCATTGGGGTAGCCCTTCCCAGCTTCTCTCAAGAGTTAATTCAAGGATAAGGCCATAATTATTGGAATTCAATAGAAAGTATTTTATTGTTTGTGTATGAGAATGTATCAATAAGAAATGAATGAGCTATTATTTACTATATACTATGTTTATCTTTTGTTTGCTTCTAAAGCTGAAGTTGAGCATTAAATTGAACACTTACAAGCTATCTTAATATGTGACATGACATGAGTCATAGTGACCTAAACTTTAAAACAGGAAGCCCAGGGGTCAGAGAATTGTCAAGGGGCAAGCAAGGGTCACAGCACCAGGCATGGAAGAACTCAATGACAGAAAATTTGAAAGTCAGTGTCTGATCTATATCCCTCTATATGTTCATATTTCAACTAAAATAGAAAACAACCAATTTTATTTATTCATATTTTGTACTTTATTTTTCAGACAATTTTTCCACAAAAATGACAAAATAACATTCATAAATTTGTATCGATAATCTTAGAAAAGGTTTTTTCAAGATGGCTTTATATCTTGAAGATGAAATATACATGAATAATAGATATATAGATACCTTCTTTACAATTGGTATAAATGTAAACAAAATGAAAAGTTCATGTAAACAAACAGGAAAAATGTAAACATTCTTAATAATTTAATGTAAACGAAAATTGAAAATGATAACAATGCAAACTATGAATTGAACAGTAATATGTTACAATATTTGGAAACTATTATTTAATGATTTCATTTCACCAATAATTTTAAATGTTAGTTCATGCTGGAGATCTCAAATAAAATGTACATGAAAATTGAAGAGAGGAGCAGAGGATCGACTAGCACTATATCTCAACTACGTTTATAAAAGATAAATAGAAGAACTCTACAATATCACTACAATAACAGAACTGGGGCCTTATTCTTAAAAACTTCACTTAAAATGATTTTAGTGTTCCAGTCATCTGATTGGTCAATCATTGAAATTGATTTTAAATTTAGTTTTATTATCCAATCAGATTACTGTATTTCTTTAAATCTGGATATTATTTAAGTTAAGTCTTGGAGAAGAAGCCCCTTGTTGTAATGTGTCTTATAATCTATTATACATAATATATACCAAAATTTTTCTACTGTTCATACCTTATTGAGACAGGGAAAGGAAAGTGTGGGGGAGGGGGGCAATTTATTAATAGCAAATCTAATGCAGATCCCTTTTAATTAGGGACAAGACATGAATCATATTGACAAAATATTGCACTGTGAAAGAGATAGTTGGTATGTTTGAGCAAACATTTAAGTAAAATGTGATATGTCAATGTTTAATATCTGATTTTAATTTAAATTTAAGCATTTGAACAGCACAAAAGTTTCCTGAATAGGCAAAATAGTTGCAAAAAATCGAATGAAATTATCGCTTGCTCTTAACATATCCTAATAGAGATCTTTAATCAAAAAGGCAAGAAAATCATTTGTCAGTCTCTATACAAAATGATATATATATACAGAAATTAACACATCAAGCAAATCTGTCAAACAAATAGCAAATAAGATTCCCGTACCCCTTTTCTTAAAGTATCGTAGATTAAAGTTCAAGCAAACGTAATCTAACAATTTGATTACATCAAAAATAAAAGTTTTTCTTCACTTAACGTGCAAGTGCAAGTTCAGACATACAAATTTTTGAGAAACGGGGCCAATGAGAATCTTTGTCCTATGATCGCTTGGTGTATCAGTGTCAAAAGAAAAAAGCTGCATGACAGACAGCATCTACAAAAGATCATTCTACTATACACTATAATATAATATAAATCTTATAAAGTATGGACAGTTTTGGTTCGATGTTTAAAATACAATATAGGGTCCATTAGTTGTTCTTCATTCTATTTACTTTCATTTCATCAAGCTGATTGTTGTTTTCAGCCGTGCTGGCAATGATGACTGGCCCTTTATATTAATGAATGTGGAATATAAATTAATGATGAAATAATATATTAATACTTTATGAGATCATTTGTTATTAAATTTCTTAAATAAATCAATGACTGCCTTTTATACAAGAATTTGGATTCCACCAAACTGAAGCCGATGATCAGCCATATTTCAAAGATGTGAAGCAGTATGAACTAGTGTGGTCTAATCCTTAACCCTTTCAACCCTAGCAGCCAGTTTACCAGCCACATAGTTACGCGATATATCCAAGGGGCTTGTAAACATGCCTTAACCAAGTTAAACATTCACCTCATACATTTTAACTTATTGAGGTTCAGGGTGTATAATGTTTTATTTCATTTACACTGAAGTGTTCAAAGGGTTAATGATTTTCTTAAATCATAGCACACTTCATTTTAACATCTTTTTATTTTGAGATCTACAAACTGATTTGTTATGTAAAATGGCTTTTGATACACTATGTCCTTGATTAAACCACTTGCATAGTTGAATGAATGAAAATGTCTGCCATTTTTCCTTGAGACAAGATGATGTAATTCAATTAATAAAAATATCTGTATCCTGCCATTTTAAATAAGGCTTGATTTATATCCACCTGATATTATTTGAGCTTCAATGGAAGCTTTGTTGTTTTTTGTTATTTTTCGAGCTCCAAAAACCGTCATAATTTTATACCTGAGAAGTTAATTTTATTGTCTTGTGTTTTTTAACACGGAAGCTGATTTATTTCTTCACCATATAACACAGGTTTTGATGATGTAATACACAATACATAATGATGTACTACACAAGTTACTAAGACGCCAATAAACATTTATTTACAAAATGATTTGGTTTTTTCATATAAATAATGTCAATCAGAACTCCTCACTCAGTTGTCAAGTATTCATTTCATCTCACAAAGGCCACACACGTTTAAAACACCACACTGCTTTAAGCGGCACACTGTCTGTCACATGGTACAATTATAACTTTACTAGGTCATGTCTATTAGTATACACTTTGTGATGATGTCAAAGGATGATGTCTATATGTACACAAATAATGATGACATACTGTACAATAACTGATTATAGAGTACCCAATATTTTATAACCCTGTATTGTAACTATTCAGCAGATGCTTGTGGGATTAGATGTGCTTGACTGAAAAATATAAACAAATTCAAAATTATTTTGCTGATACAGGGATTTAACTTTCTTTTACTGCCTTAATGAAGACCTAATATAAAATATAATTCTCATGACCATCACCTTCTCAATATTTTCTAATTCAGAGCCACAAAGCCATTTTGTGGAAATTTACTCTGAGATATTCAAGTCTAAACCATTTAATTTAGAAGGATATTGTCATGAAACTATTTGTAGACTTAGCTATCTTATTTAAGGATGTCAAAATACATGCACACGATAACTTGCAAGAATTTCCGGAAAAAGACCCTTTAAATATGGTAATTGTTTGTGTCTTTAATAAATTCAAAATAATAGTTATACTCACATGAATGAGGAAGTTATCATAAACTTCAGTAAGATGTTCTAATTTATACTGATTAAGAATAATAAAACCTTCTAATTTAGGACTGATTCTACGTGAACAGTCTTGACAGTGGACAATAAACTTCTTATCTTGTTCTTTAACAAATAATATATTAAACACTTCCAGCTGAAATATGATAACAAATAATATAATAAATAACACAATAACAAATTAATATAATAACAAATAATACAATAACAAAACATATCGACTGTTAAGGTGATGCACTATATATCAAAACTATAGAACACTACCGAAATAGAAAAAAAAACATAACCTAAAACATATTGTACAAAGAGTTTCACACTGTGCAATCTTCAACCAACTGACCTATTTCATTCTACATTTATATCCCTACCTACTAAAATTAAACAAGTAGAATATATTTCTAAGTTTAAACTCCAGATATTTCATTATCTGGTAGAGGTGGTGATTTGTCATTACTAATCTGAAGTAATTGTGAATCACCAGTAATAATACTAACCTCACAGTCATCACAATATGTAGCAGCTTCATCTTTCTCTCTACCCTGCCATTTAATCTGAAAACCTAATTCTTCCACAAAATCAGTCAACATCTGAATCTGTCGTAATGATCTCATCAATACAGACCTGAAAAATATTAATAATAAAACATAAAGCTAGCTATTCCCAGAATAAAAGACCAAACTTTGATTAGAGTTATACTATGTAGACTATGAAAATCATAAAATCTCAATCATGTTGTCCTTAACTAGCCGCTAGATGTGGCGATAGAGCAACACTACTTCATTCAAATGATTCAATTTCTTACATAAGTTATAATTGTATAAAGCAGGAAAACCAAACCACTGGATCACTAGGTACCGTATAGGGCACAAAGACTATGTTGAAAATTTGTCAATGTCTAGACCCTAGATAGTGACGGTCTCACATCTGTATATCAAGACCCAGGAATAGAGGTAAGACCAGAGTTTCACAAGAAAAAGATAGAAGAAAACACTCACTTGACTAATTCATAGAGTCTAGGTTCTACTATACTAATATTACGAGCTATACTCCATGATAGATGTATCATTGGCACTATAGATTTATAACTTTGTAGTTTATTCCACTCATAACGTTCTAATGCTAGCTGATATTGGAGAGAAGTTAAAGGACCGACATTCCAAGCTATGTTATTACACCAACCCTATAATAAAACAGACAATAGTTAAAAGGGATACAGGTCAAATTTGGATTCAAGTAGTCCATTCTTATATAATTTAAGTAATAATCAACACAATTTGTCCTGGATATACAATCATACCTGATTGACTCTGACTAATATATTGTAAATATAAAACTCACACAAAATTTGATAAAAGTCACAATTCACTTTTAAGATATTATCAAGATATCAAGGGCTGTAACTCTGTCCAAATTTGTCAAATTATAGACAAATTATGAACATAATGTGTGTGTATAAATACCAAACTTACCACAGCTTGTACCCAATGTACTGTACCAGGTCCAATCCACACTAGATCACCAGGTTTCTGTATAAATCTATATACTGGTACATCTTCTTCATACAGATCTTCTAATACAGGCCACCATGATCCCGTTAAATAATTTATATTATGTCTACAAGTATACAGGATATTGAAGTTAATTTATTTTCATAAAAATCATCAGAATTCGACACATATAGAGATCTTTCCCTCCTTTATCTTCAATAATTGAATATTTGATACATTTGGAGAATGTCTAGTATGCCGTGTGTCAAGTATCTCTACACAACCAAGATATACGATAGCATGTTGTATTCAAAACATCATTTGAAAATTGATACTTGTCTCTGACCAAATCAATTAAATACAACTGAATATATGTAACAACCAAAAGTGCAAAAAATTGCAAGAAATATTCAAGTTCTCAAAAGGAGCAAGGGAAGGTAATATTACCTTTCACAGAGACTCTGTATAACTCCCCAATATTGATCAGGTACCGCAAACCATTCACAATCACCTGGTCCAATATTAATATTTACAGAACAGAAATTATTATTTTCTTGATGACCTGAAATATATACATTATCTCACTTTAATTGATGGATTGAATACTCTTCGATTAGACAGAATATGGAGAGATTTACTACTAGAGTTGTAAATGCAAATTTCTAAGGGCATCTACGATATAGTGGTGTCAAAACGCTTAGTTTAAGTGAAATTTCAAGAACAAAAAATGACTTAAAATTGGAATGGTAATAATAATCATTTAATCCTCTTACAAAAAAACAAAATAAATAGTCAACTAACCAGGTGTACGAGATCCAGGCACTTTCATATATAACTGTACAGTATTCATACCTAATATGGTATGACCCACATGACTTAATAAATTAGCAGCAGACACGACTCGAGTAAAACTGGGTAATTTTGATAATTCAAATAACTGATTCTTCCATTTTTTATCATCGGATAAATCTACATTAGTACCAAATTTTATCACCTTCGACTTTTTCCTGGAAAATAAATCAAACATAAAATATAACTGACTATTAAATGAAATGAAATGGAGTTTTACAACCTACTCTTCTAAACCTGTTAGGGAAAAAAAATTAAATCAAATGCACCTTATAGTGCTAACGAACACAAACATCTTCCAGTTGAGCAGCTGAACTTTGCCTAATCTTTAATAATTTAATCTCACTGATGGTATTCTGAATTGATGATTTGAGAATAGACAGTTGGGAGAATGGACATATCACAAATATCATAATTCTTCGTTAGAAAGTTTATATATTTGAAAATGGTTTGTGATGTAAATAACTTACTTTTTAGAAGAAGTAGAAGAGTTAGAATCACTATCAGAATCTTTATGTTGGCCTTTAGCTTTATCATGTTCTTCCTACAAATATATTAAGATACATCATCAAATATACAAATACATGCTCAAATATACAAATATATTAAAATATAATACAATATTTCATACAAACTGATGATAACTAGTGGTGTTACTAGGAATTATTAGGTGGAAGGGTTGAGTAGAGGCCACATTATCAAGGGGGTAAACCAAACCAGACATTTAAGATCTTAGTGATGTCAGATATCAGATTCTCCTGCCATTACACTAACAATAAGCCTAGCCATCTCAACGGCCTTAGAAGCTTAGATATTAGACTAAATACAATTTAGCATTTCTATATTGCAGAAACCAGAGACATATGGGGAAATATCTGATAGATGCAAATAGAAGGCATTAATGGCTACTTCACCACGGAACCCATTTACAACTCTGTGTAAGATAATCGTTCAGATACAATCAGCTTAATGCCGAAAAAGACTTACTCGTAGAGATTCTTGGAAGGATGAAGCCTGATATTGAGCATATTTTGCTATAGATGTGTGACTTCTAGAACTAGCACAATGCCATACTTTTCTACCTAGCTGATCTCGATTCTCATCAGGGGCTTGTTGTTTCTGTAATAACAAGGTTAACATATAGTTATCTTTGAATTGATATTCTCTGACAGAATTACAGCAAATCCCTTGAACTGTACAATGTGTCTGGATTCAAAAAATATGTCTACACAAATTCTAACTTGTTGGGTTATCATGAAATTATATGTATGGTTATGACTGTTGTATTATCTAGAGTAGTTGAGGATATGTTCTTGACTTGGTGCTAGGGGTGTTTGTTATCTAACACCAATCATAGATCATCAGAAAACAGAATCATTACCTGTGCTCTAACTTCTACTCTATGATCTGCATTAGCTTCAACTAATGTCTTTGTAGAAAATAATCCTAGATCTACAATAGATAAATTATGTTTTTGTTAAAAAATTACATAAGCAGTTCTTCTCACCGTTCAAATACTGTACATTCCAACTACTTTCATTTTATAGTCAACTAATTGTATTAACACAAAAACAATCACTATACATCATCATGTATTGCAGTTTAACAGCTCTGTACATTGTTTAAAATCAAATAACATCTTTAAGAAAAATAATTTTCTAGTCCAAAAAGACATACGTACCTAATTTGAGTGCTCCAGCTAATCCTCGTATAACAACTACTGGTTGTGAATGACAGTATTGCTGTAATTCTGGTGAGAAGGCATCACGTTTACTTTCTAACTGTAATATATAATATATATAAATCAATTAACAAACCAACATGAATGATAATCGTTCTTCATCGTCGAAAATCCTGGCCAAAAGCATCCCTCCACATACGTCACACTTAAATCTTGAGGAGCAGTCTGTTATGGATGTTGGTTTCTCTCTAGCCTTATGTATGGCCCTCTTATCCTTTGTTTCTGATAGTCACCTATATTCTGCTGCACAGGAATCAGTAGAGATTTGCCAGTTCCATATGTAAAACCATGTGGTGTATTGCAAAAGAGAAGGGTCATGGTTGCTTATTTGACTCTTGATTTCACAGGAGTATAAAAACGTGATCACTGGTTGTGTAATGGAGGTATAACTTCATCACTTATGAGTACGAACAAAGTTTCTATAGCATCAAATTTGAATATTGTATATATTTAGCAACTTACATAAACACTAGGTGTTGGTGGGTTCAGCTGGTCTTTAGATAATGGTGGTGTTGGAGGGCTAGGGGGTGTAGGGGGTGGACCAAAATCTTGTAACATATTAGATAAACAGAAACCATGTTTACCTGAAATATAAAGCAAAATGTTTTCAAAATTGGCAATTTTCAATACAATCATACTTAATTTTAATCTTGATGCATATCTAAACCCTAACCCTAACGTTAACTAACGTTAAGCCGTAAAAAAAACAAGTAATTTGTATTTGGTACTCAAATGGATATGGTATATATATCAAACTGTAAATCATCAAAACAGTATCCGAGGGATTGCCTTTTAAAAATAGAATGCACATGTGGCTTTAGTAGGACCAATGGTGGTACAAACTGCTTCTACCACACTAAAACTTCATGAATATTCGATGACCTTATTGCCAATTTTCCCTATCAAATTACTTTATATTAAAGTACTTACCCATGCCTTTCGATAGACTCATGATTTCTCTAGCTGATAGATTAATGTTGAATGCTGAAATAATTTTTTCTGTGGATAATTTCCCTTTAGATTCTTTCTTGTCTTCTGTTTTAGTGTCGGAAGAGTCGCCATCTTGACTGTCTGTTGTCGTGGAATGTACCGATTCTATATTATCTTTATCTTCTTTTATTTTACTATCTTCTGATCTCTTACTCCGTGAAAATTGAGTTATGAAGTCTTCAGCGATGGAGGTAGTAATATTTGGTCGTGAGAGAAGACTGTTTATTTCCTGTTCACTCATATTGGCTGCTCGTAAATTATGTACAAAATCTGCGGGTAAATTGTCCGAGATCGATGTTAGATGACGTGATCCTGGCGTGGGTAAGGATATTCCTGAGGCGTTGGGATTCATCGTTGTCCCTTGTGATGCTAGTGATGATCGATGTGATGTCACTGGTCCGTTACCACGGTTAAATGGAATGTTGGAGGCAGGAGGTAGATTTCCGTGTAACTGTAAAGGCACTCCACCGGTCATTCTTGGACTGGTATCTCCCGGCATTCTTGAGTTACCTGAATTGGTCGGGAAATCATGATGAGTTTTGTGAGACGAAGAAAGGAAACCAGAAGACAAGTGATGAGAGCAAGGAGTCGGTGATGTTACTTGGTTAGATTCAAACGAGAAAAAATTATCAAGAGATTTTGTAAAGTTGGAGAAGGTAGGAAAACCAGAAACAGTATCATGCAGGCGTCGTTCACTAGATGAGAAATAGTTGAAGGAAGAAGAAGAAGGTGAAGGTCGTCCAAACATGTTACCTGCTGAAGCATTATGCTGATTGGTTGATGGACTGGTCACCTGACCTGGTCTTTGTTGTCCAGGTCGTACCATATTACCCTAAAAATAAAGAGCAATTATATTTTAGAGAAGGAAGTGAGCACAAAATATTTTTAAGGGGATCTTGGGACATGTCATGTCCTCTGGAAAAATTTTGAAAATGAAAGGCTAAATTCCTACGTTTTAGTGAATTCTAAATATTATTCATTCAATTTTTTTCATTTTAGGGGTATGGGGGCATGCTTCCCCTGGAGGCTTTAATTCTACTTTCTAAATAATATTCTTTCAATTTGATTCTTTTTCTTTGAGGGGAGGCTCCGAATTTAATGACCAACATGTGGATTTCTAGGGGGAAATGGGCTTTCCCAACCTCAGAGCTGCCACATGAATAAGATCAGTAATTAAGCTAGTAACATACCTGTGATAATGATTGTTGATGAATACTATATTGATGCTGTAATTGACGTAATATTGTTTGCTGTTGAGGATCTAGATTAGCCTGGTTGGAGGCTAAACATTGTAATAGATTGAGTTGTTGTGGGGTCATAAGACCAGGTTGTGGGGGAGGGGTCGGGCTCTCCATACTCTCTGATGATGGCTGAAAATAAATTAGCAAAAAATAACAATCAAAATAATCATTCAATCAATGTAGCAATTTTTTCATTTCCATGTTTATCAATGAATATTAACAGTTCTAATATCATTCCTTTCTTTGAACCAGTTACTTAGTCTTTTATTCAGTTGATCACATGATGACTTGCGTTTACACACTAATAATGCTGAAGAGACCAATGTTTAATTCTCAAAACAACAGGTATTGACATGACAAGAGCTTATCAGATCAACAACTTCTATAAAGCTTTTAACATTTCTTTTATCACGACTTCTGTAGTAAGGAATTCAAACACTGAAATATCTTACCCGTTTCCTTGCTTTCTTGTCCTCTTCCATTTTAGATTCAGCAGTAAGGTTTGGGTTGGCAGCATTCTGACCGGCAGACTATAAATAGAAACATCTTATTATAGCCACTTTCCTAGTGTCAATATTGTGGTCTTAAAATATCAAGTATGTATCAAGAGTTGTCTCCCAATAGTGAGAATTATGAAAGATGGAGGTCATTGAGGGTTTTATGTTTGAATCCAAGCCATTCTATGGCCTATATATATTATTTTCTCAGCACCTTAAAGACAGGCATTCTATGCTATATCATAAACTTTGCTAAAATAGTTGCCTAGGAATGAGGAAAATAAAGAGTTTACACACCTGTGAAAGTCCACCAGAATTCTGTCTAGAAGTAAGTTCAGCAGGAATTGGTAATTGCCAAGCTTCTTCTATACTAGGTAGTGTACGTGGCCTGAAAATATAGATTAATACATTATAGTAGTCAACAACAATTCATATTGAAGGTAACCGAAACCATGGGCTGAGACCACACATCAATTGAAATTGTAATAATAATAACTTCATTTCCGAAAGGGTAAAAATTAGTCCATACTTTGCCTCTTACAGACAGTAACCAAAAAAATGAGAATATCACACATAAAAATACTTACTTGTTTTGAAAATGTTGCATTGGTAAATTCTGGTGTAAAAACTTTATTTTAGCAGATAAATTAGGGGTAGCATAAGCTGAAATATAATAGATATATATACTCTTATAGCAACACCTCACCATAAATTATTCATTAACTAGATGTAACATCATGGTGGCAGAAACTCTTCTCTCTGAATAAGTAATGGTCTTATCGACTGTTGAATAAATTGAAGATAAATGCAGAAAAATTTCGGTATTTCCCAAATGATTACAGTGTTGCAAAACTACAATTAACAGAAGACAAAACACTTAGGTTTAGTCTTACAGCATAGGTCTTACACTTATAGGAATAAGTATGAGTATATGTGAGGCTTAAAAATAACCTATACCAACCTTTACTATTTCTAGCCGCACTTTGATAGCAAGTTAAAGCATCAACTGGTTGATTACAAGATTCATATAAAACACCTAGATCTGTCCAGGCTGCTTGGTGAGATTTGTCTAATTGTACAGCACATATATACGCTTGTAAAGCGTCCATAGGCTGATTCTGTTGTTGATATAACACTCTACAATCAGATATAACATAAGTTATTTGACCATCATAAACAACATTAGTTACTAGACAATAATAAATAACACAAATAAATTTACATTAGTAAACGTAATAACATCTAACTTTCACATATTCTATTGCTCTGTGACCCAGGCCAGCACTTTTATTGAGACTTACTTTAATACACCTGAATACCATTACTGGTTTACCCTCAATATGTTGTTATTATATCTAAAGCTAAAATGGGCTGTCAAATTGGACTCCTGTAGAGTGTCAACATAGTTTATAATGTTTACATGGATCTACAAATATTCATAGGGATACTAATATACAATGTCTTGTTAATTGTCATCTACATCAGCTGTTTCAGAATTGATACAAGCAATAAACTACCTACCCTATAGAGCACCATGTATCAGCATTAGCCTCAGATTTATCAATAGAATGACGATAGTAGAGGAAGGCATCGTGTACTTTACCAGCACTTGAAAAACATCTACAAAATATAATCATACATCAATATAAAACAACAGAGCAAGCAAAATAATAGTAACAGATCCTGTTAGAATTTGGTTGGACAATAAACCAATCATATACAATTTGATTCCCCCTAAACTAGTCTACTGAAATCTGAGAAGGATTTTGGACGTAAACAACGCAAGTGAACAACAAAGGTGTCAAGATTAATCCTGTTCAGTGAATTTCCTTATCTCAGTCAACATGACTTAAATATACAAATTTAATAGTTTAATAGTACTCAATATTTTCAATCTAGCTGTCCATAACACATGATAATAGTTTAAAATGAAGGAATAATAAATTAGTACAAGACAAACCCAATCGACCTAACAAGTCCAACTACAGTTTTCTTACAATTGATATGTTTTATAATGCTACATTGATCATGAGAAAGTACATAGAATTCGCATATCTAATCCTATCATATCATATGTCCAACCAATGTTTCCACTAGACCACAAACAAAAGGCACTGGGAAATATTTCAAATGATACTTCATGCTCATTACAAGTTACTAATTAGTGATAAGTAATTAATTAAGTAACTAAGAGTACTTTAATGCATTCTGACTTACTTAAGTAGATATTTTCAAAGGAGGAATCATATTCTTAAGCATGTTACAGTGTGATAATAATAGTCAACTATTCCACTTATTGAACTATTATTACCAACAGTTGATATCAGGTTACTTGACAATAAAATTTGAAGTACATTTCATAACAGTACTAAATATGTAACTTGAGAACAAAATTCTTAAGTGCAATAACAATATTTCTATTTATAAATATTGTTTATAAGACATATAGAAGTAGGAAGATTACAATAAAACACTAAGATATATAGATATACTACTTCTGCATTTATTACATACTATGTTTGGGACACATACAGGTAACGTTATCAAGTATCATTTTTACTTGATAACGTTACCTGTATGTGTCCGAAACGTAGTAAATGCAGAAGTAGTATATCCACATATCTTAGTGTTTTATGTTTCTATTTGTAGTAAATCTTATAAGTCTTAACAAATACATATATGCCATCCTTATTCATTATCTCTGTCCACATAATTATAATGTGGTACAGATATTTTTACCAAAGACCACGGTGGTGCTCGATTTGTGGGTTCTGAACATGTTCCATCTGTCCGACTTCTAGTAGTCTATGAACCTGTATAGAACAGGATATGTCTCAATCAAAATTTACTCCTTTCTCTACCATTTTGAATTCTGTCTACACCAATTTATACCCTGTTTAAATTTGTCTTCATGAATGTCCAGGGGATTCCATGAATCCTGAAACAGCAGAACTCATCAATAGAGCCCCCCAGATTACTGACTGGATCTTTGTTCAAGTATTGTCTTTGAAGATTGATAAATAATTTCAGTTGACTTACCTTCCTAACAAATAAGATGTTTGTCCATTAGGGTCTAATTCTAGAGATTTTTGAAGGTATTGTATAGCTCTGGTTTCACGGTAAGCTTTCTCACCAAATGACTCAATACTATGATATAACCAACCTGTAAATAAATATAACTACATCAATACAAATATCTTAAAGGAATTTAATACACATAAAAGTTTACCATCCCGTTTATAACCAATGACATGGACAGTAACTTCTGTAGAACTTTACTTAAATTTGCAAACCACAAGGGTGAAATAAAAATAATGAGTTGAAAAGCAGAGGTTCATGTCTCATAAGAGGGTTTGTTTCCTTAAGACTCAGTAGCATGAATAGGTGTTAACAATCTTTCCTCATTATTTCAGAGTCAGCAGTTAATATTTTGAAAGATCATGGGGAAATCAGTTTTGCCACTACACAAAATCAACAGTACCCGAGATCTAGCTATTCTCAATTCAACTATAACTTACCTAGTTGTCGTAATGCTGTAGCTTTTACTGTCTTAGTCAGATCTTCTGCTGTTAAAAGTTTCTCATACACTTCTTTAGCTTGTTTATGTTCTCCCTGTAATGTTTCATACAATGTTTAAATCATCCAGAAAAAAAGATAAGGGATGAGGAAACATAGGCTAAAAACGGCACTGGAAAACTGCTTGTTCTGGAGGAGACTGATAGTATGAGTGGCAATACGTGAAAACTCAAGGGGTCCAATACAGTATAACATGCTCTAGATATCTCTAGTAGGTAAAACTGCCACATCATCTTTTAGTATATTTCATTATATAGTCAACAGGTTGTCACTAATGTACACGACTTATAATATTCAAGAACAATATTACTATTACAGAAAAAAAATAAAAAATCTTTACCTCAACTTCCAACAGATGGGCAATGTTTAACTGAACTGAAAATAGAAAAATATTCAATTATTATTCACATTAATTCAACCATTACAATATCATTATTATCCTCAATTAGCAGAATAACCTGTTATCTTACATAAACCAAGATGTATATTTTACTTGAAATAGACAAATTATTAAACAAATAGTTTTCTTAAATATATTATAAAGTTGTTTTCATTGTCAGACAATCAAATTTCTTAGTTTTAAATTTTATCTTTTTTTAAAAAATTTTTCAAAGATATTCCAAGTTTAAACATAGAAATAATTCATCCATAAGTTTATTGGAATCTTATTATCTTAATGGTATACCATATCCATAATATTAGGATAAACCAGAACTGTGCTGATACTTTTACTGGGTGTATATATTCCTAACCTTATTGGACTACTGGAGTCATAACAATGACTGTGTACTGTAATTAATGTCACTGTGCACATGTAATTGTCGAGGTGACCTAAATGTAATGCAAGATGGCACATACTGCACATGCATGCACAACAACAATAACCCAAACAAAACAAACTAAAACATAACACAATGACAACAGTTGAAGCATGTTAATTGTCAACTAGCTTTTCTTCTCTTTGTTAATTTTCTCTACATGCTCAGCTTGCATCATCTTAAATAATTAATTCAGTACAATCTGATTCCATCATTAATATAGTCACAATCTGATAAGACTGATAGCTTACAAGATTAGGCAACACATGTCTACAATAGTCTTTTATTTTTCATTGAACAATTTTCTTTTATTATCAAGAAGGTAACAGTCAACAACTGATAGCTTGCTAGACAAGGTAACAAATGCCTATATCAGTAATATTTCACTGTGAAATAGGACAAATTGTGGTTCCATGTGACTTAAATTCAATGTGGCAGTGTACAGAAAACCGGAAAAGGGCATCAGATACCCTGCTGATAGTATCAGGAATATGAGATATAGATTCAGCCTGTATATCACATCTGATAAACTACCATAGAGAAATATAATACATAGTAAAATAAGGAACCATAACTCATGTTTAACAATAGAGCAGTTTACTCCTGCTAGAAATACAACCTGGAAAAATGTCATTGATGATTAGAGTGACATGATATAACCATCTGGTGTCAGTGAAACCGACAATCCTTATCTATTATATTATCATATAATTACTCCAGTTTATATTTATATTCTACTGTATAATACGAGGACACAAAGACAATATATTATTAAATTATTCTGACACCATAATGCACACCTTGTCACAGCAAACAGCAAGGTAATAGGCCCTACACTACTTTTTGTCCTGTTTTCTTTGTGATGAAACTAGATATTAGTTATACATTTTATAATGAAAGCTTAATGAAATTTCCACTATGAATAATAGAATAGAAATAACTGTTGTTATCTTGCTGACAGCAACTTGCTGTTAATTATGAAAGTCAGAAGTTATTTCATTATTTTCACTAATATAAGAACCTGAAGACTTCCTGACAAAACTTAATTTGAGCTATCAATATAGTTATACATTTCACACAAAGAACTGAACATAACACTTTAACCTCAGAAAATAGCACATAAACTTCTGAACATAACTATCAAAACATAACATATAACCCTCTGAAAATAACACACAAATCTCTGAACATCACACCTAAACAGATGAACATAACTTCTAAACATAACATAGAGACTTCTAAACATAACACATAACTTCTGAACTTAACACATGAACTTCTAAAGCAAGGAGGAGAGGTCAGACAAAATATAAGGAAGTTAAGTACTTACTTTCTTGTTTTGATAGAGTACATTCGCTGGAATCTTTCTCTGCTAACCGGAAATGCTGAAAGTAGAAAATAAACCTTTATTTAGCTTTCATCATAATAATTCACTGTAACTCAGTTCAAAATAATCAAAAGTTTATTTGTTTTTAAGTTTACCAACTGTTTTTAATTATCAACTATGTATAAGTATGTAATACAATAAGCCAAGTAGTATATTGCATTTCAAATCTACATTACAACCAAAGTTTTGATAACTTATCAGTTCATTACATTTTTCAGGTTCCTTTTCAAATTATCAGCTTTTACAAGTAGTAATAAGATAAACTGTACACTAGGCATGTATTCAAAATTACAGCCTGTTGAAAGTTAAAAACTTCAATATATCATAACGTACAGTAAAGACATTGTTTCAATATGAAATTGAATGGGGTTTTAAAGAGGTTTTCTAGCCATTTATAGCTTTTATTTACATCATTCGTATTTCAATCAGTGTGTGGTTACTGTAATTATAGAATTACTGAAGTGTTAATGACTTCACTATCGCATAAGCTGTTAATAATTAGCAGCTTTTGCGATAGTGACCTCATAAAACACCTACTTGTAGTGGAATTGCATCACCTAGAGACGACTGATTGAAAAAAGAGAATGATGCAAATTTATGCTATCTGTGTCTTCAATACAAGTTTAGAAAATCTCTAAAATCCCTTTAAGATTAAACATGTTAAATTTAACATAGATAGTATACTTGTGATTTGAACATTGTTATTTAATTGGTAATACAGTACCAACAATCCAAAACTGCAAAATGAAACTTCGAAACAAAATATTGGCAATACATTATTTCATAATGAAAAGTGGTATCATGTGTCTAGAGAAGGGTAAGCATACCCTGCCTGACACCACACCTGTCATTGCTGTCAAGTTATGACTGAATTAAACGTGGTTTTTATAGACCTTCTTTATCTTCTTTATTAACCCTCAAAACCCCACTCTTTTACAAAGCTTATAAAACAAACAAGATAAAAACAAGCCAATTGTCATGAATGTAAACTTTGTTGTAAAAGAAATAAAATTCACATTCCACATCTACAAGTTGTCATAAAATATATACTGGTATATAAATATAGTGACATGCCAGGTGTACAGTGGTTTATGAATCAACTTGTAAACCAGTCAAAAAAACCTAAATGTTGTTAATTACAAAACGATGTCTAACAGTATCAAACAGACATAATTTTAAAAAATGTATACTGTAGTTCAAACATTCACAAGTAAACAACTTAGAGAACATCAAATCTTGCACTACGAGACAAAATAACTAAAAATTACTACCACCAGATGAATGTTTCTAGATACTCGTATCTACCTGTAATCCTTAAACAACATTTAGAGGTATAGATCATATAAAATAACCAAACACAATTTCATCATATACTACTCCAGACTCCAGAGTATTATTATACACAAAGTTTCAACAATTTACATTGTCATCATTGGTTAAAATATATCCATCTATAGTAATCTATAAACACAAATAATTATCTGCACAAATATGAACTGAGAAATAGGGCTATTCCAATCACTTTGTTAACACTCCTTGAAATTTAATCAAATATAAATCTGGTAATTAATAAATAGTTCAACTGCTTTAATTCAGCAATCACAGTTGAAATTTCCTAACACACCTTGAATTTGAACCTGAGATAACCACTGTATTAAAATTCATTCAAACACATTATTTCACCTTTAATTAAGTAGAAAAGTAAATTTCATCAACACACCTTTAAATTCAATCTAACTAGGTCAATACAATTCAATAATTCATTTATTAATAACAGAAATACAGATTTTTTACTTGATAAACTATAAAACATTGACAGGATGCAGGCAGGTAAAAAGATGTCTTACATTACTACCTGTAGACGTCGAGTCTGTACCATATTTATAGACAATTGTTAAATAACACACAATACACAATCAATACAAAATACCACCTTAATCACAGTCAGGAGACAGACAAAAAACATAACACCCCCTAAAACACTGCAAACTTTTACACTCTACATCTATTGAGACATATTCAAAACATCACTTGATACACTAGTCTACATGTCTATGACCCACTGCCCTAAATACTAGATTACCCAGACTGTAGTAATGTTATAAAGAATATCTTTTTACTGAAAGTGCATAAGCCACATTCTTATAACAGTTTTCTCCAGTGAAATGGGAACAAATCTTATCTAAACCTTCAATCTAGAGCTATGTAAATTAAAACTGTTTACAATGAAAATATTTGGACTGTAAAAATTAATTAGACAACTTGACAAATGTCAGTAGAATAAATCTCTCTATCTTGACTCCGGTGAAATGTGACACTATTTATTTTGTGGTTTCTCAGATCTCACAAATTGACTTTAAACAAAATAAAAAACCCGAAAATATTGAAAAACATGGGATTAAAAATCTTAATCATCAAATATTCAACAAATGAAATAAAAAGTTTTATTTGAAAGTTTAAGAAAATACGCAGAATTTCTGATCCATAGTTTTCTTGATGCTTTGTCAATATCACTTATCACTTCATACATGTATTAAGATATTGTAAACTCTTTCTTTGTTTGAATATCATTTCTCAAACTCAACAATATTGGATGTAAAATGTATAATTTTGACAACTCCTAAATACACTGGTGACAACTGAGATGTAAAGCATGAGTTAATGCATGTCTAGCCTGTCTTTTTTGATAAAAAGGTGTCTGCCTGTTTTTTTTTATAAAGAGGTGTCTTTTGATAGACATGTCTAGCCTGTTTTTTGATAAAGACTGCGTCTAGCCTATTTTTTGATAAAGACTGCGTCTAGCCTATTTTTTGATAAAGACTGCGTCTAGCCTATTTTTTGATAAAGACTGCGTCTAGCCTATTTTTTGATAAAGACATGTCTAGCCTATTTGTTTGATAAAGATTTGATAGAAATTTTTGTGTGGGAGGATATTGACAAGGGATAATTCAACATGTAAAAACTGTAATGTTACCAGATTAACACTAAAGCTTCACCTTGTGGTTTGTTATTGTCTTCTCTAAGCCATTAGTCAACAAACAGGAGGATCTTTTATCAATGAAATACAGCCAGAATATAACAGGCATCATGCCAATTTCAATATTTATAGTGGAATTAACCAGAAAAACTCAAAAATCTCTCAGTCATCGACCTTTTACTCTACATAATTTAGTATCCTTTACTCTACATCATTTAGTATCTTTTACTCTACATCATTTAGTATCTTTTACTCTACATCATTTAGTATCTTTTACTCTACATCATTTAGTATCTTTTACTCTACATCATTTAGTATCTTTTACTCTACATCATTTAGTATCTTTTACTCTACATCATTTAGTATCTTTTACTCTACATCATTTAGTATCTTTTACTCTACATCATTTAGTATCTTTTACTCTACATCATTTAGTATCTTTTATTACTCTACATCATTTAGTATCTTTTACTCTACATCATTTAGTATCTTTTACTCTACATCATTTAGTATCTTTTACTCTACATCATTTAGTATCTTTTACTCTACATCATTTAGTATCTTTTATTACTCTACATCATTTAGTATCTTTTACTCTACATCATTTAGTATCTTTTACTCTACATCATTTAGTATCTTTTACTCTACATCATTTAGTATCTTTTATTACTCTACATCATTTAGTATCTTTTACTCTACATCATTTAGTATCTTTTACTCTACATCATTTAGTATCATCTTGAAACAATAACATTATCTCAATATTTTCTTACTGTGTTTTAATAATTCAGGGTAGGGTATTGTGCTATGTAGTTGTAGGTTTTATGTCGCAAGGTAAATTAATCAAGCTTGGATAGCACTGACATGTTACTTGCTCTATGGAATCTCAAAAGTTCCGGATTCCCAAACGACATATTTGAACTAACAGATGCAACTGTAAGTACAATTTGAACTACAAGTCAGAAGAACAAATTTCACAATTAATAAAGAAATTCTGATACGTAAATATAAATATATAAATATAAAAATATTTCATAGCCTTGATCAGAATTACAAAACTGTCTCCTTCAAATCATACAAAAACACAAAACAACGCAAAAACGTTTGTGTTGGAATTGCGAACATCAGTGACAGACATACTCTAATTAGTTCTTAAAAGATATTTTGCGTTTCGGAAATCTTACTTGCCTGAAGGTTATTACACTCCTTTAATTTTATGCACTACTTTGAACAAGATATTACAGATATTATTATTTGTCGCAGAAAGAAATGCGTAATCACATTAATTAACTAGGTATTGCCCAATAATGCCAATCAACTGATATTTCAAACTGAACTACAATAACAAAATATTTTCACTGTTAAAATAGTGCTCAATACATCAGTTGTAGAGCAATAACATCACACTTTGTGAAACTCTCAGTAACAACATAAATAGGTGAAAATATTATCTAGAAATTAGGATATGTTTATTAAGTTGAACAATGTAAACAAATAATGTTAAAATAATAGTTTAGGTCAACGTGGCCAGTTAGAAATAGTTTTAAACTGTAAAACAACCTAATTATCACGTACTCTTAGTTTAAAAGTTAAACTCTTTAACTTGGCACGTCACATCATGAAGTGTGACACAAGTTAACGTCACTACTTTACTCTACCATTTGGCACGACTCCAAGCTCGGATGATACAATTAACGTTTAATTACCTTTTAATTAACAAAAGGTCATTATCAAAATCTCTCACTGATTTCATTTTGAATTGATATAATGAAAGAAGTGATGAAGTCTTTGAATAGAATTTAGCAACTGTAAGTATGATATATATGTATAGCTTTATGGAACAACAATCACTGGTAAAAGTTTTATGTAACTTTTCGACGTAATAATTTGAAAATCACTTCAAACAAAGTCTCAATTTTTCTAACATCAGAAAGCATTATCCAGTATTTACAGTTTTTGAAAGAAATGTTGCCAAATCCAGTTACAAAGTGGCGTCAGGTGTTCAGGAAAAGCAAGAATGTCCTGCCTTGATGGTGACTATTAAACCGTTCTCAGTGAGAAGATCAGAAGATTTTGATATACTCAATAAGTAATTGACAACAGCTCAATGCTTAATCAGCTTATTCAAAATCCATGAAAATAGCAAGTTGAAAAATTGACCAACCTTTAAACTGGATTTATAATTTCCATTAGATTTAAACATCAATCCTAACCGTACATGTATTTCATTGGTGCGTTTAAAGGATGGGTCACAGTACAGCACCTCTTGAAAACTTTTTATTGCCCTGAAAATAGAAAATAATAATTCATTATAATATATATTCATTTGCTTAAATCTGACTATCATTTTACTTCAGTATTATATAGTATAAAGTATCTTGTTATGATGTAAATGGAAAGGTGTAATGATTCTTACGTTATCTATATTAATAATTGTTTATCAGCAGAAAGATCCTACTTTCATATTTTCATAATGAAAAGTGCTGCATATTGAGTAAATTGGCAGGTAATGGATATAACTATAAAAAATAAAATCAACCTTTCTAAAAGAATTGAAACAATATCAGCCCTAGAAGTTGTATATACGTGCATGTTCTTTAAGCAACAGAACTTTGAGATTTAATTATCACAAAGCAAATTTGTTACTAAAATTGTGTGGCTGGTTATTCAAACATTTTTCCGCAATAATTTGTTTGAAGGAATTTAATTGGTAAAGAAGTAAACTCTCTACCAATCAAAATTAATGACGAGAATATGAGATTGTGACAGCAACAACTACAGGATCATTGTCATGTAACGTTGCTTAAGGAACATGATATACGAATAGAGAATCAATCTATTGTATGATATTTTGCTGAAATATAAGTTATGCAGTCAATTGTTTAATTTAATCATCATCATTCACCATTTTTCTAATCTTGGAGATGGCAATTAAACAAATATACATAATAGCACGTCAGTTACAACTGGAAAATATAGCTTGATCAGCACCATTCAACAACTTCTACCTGAACAAATATTTTATACATAGTGACGTTAAGACTTTGTCATTATTAGACTACTGTAGAAGAGTTAGATATAAATTGATGTAATAATGTTGATTTTATAAGAGATAGATTGATTTTATATCTAAGAATAGATTGGAATGGTATTAATAGTAGCAACCCAATAACCTCCACATGTAGGCGAGGAAAAATGAGGTAAAACTATTGATCTACAAGGAAACTAGGAAATTGCCATTACCAGCTTATTTCTCTTATCTTTTCATAATGTCGTCAAAAAATTGTTTTTGCCTCAAATAATTATAAATCATGACGAAAATGCTATAGAATGAACTTGTTGTCATGTTTCTATATAAAGTCAGTCAGAATTCAGTTCAACATAACAGAGATGACGTCAACTTGGAATGAGTTTATACGTCAAAGAACTCTACATTCCATATATGGTCATGTCGAAGAAATGTTTAAAAAATATTGATTTTTCAAAATACTGTCTGCTTTGAAATTTGAATTCAATCTTTCAGAATTCTGTCACAGATTTTTAAAATAACCGTTTCAGAAATGCATGACATGATAAAAGATAATATGCTTACACTAGTCTAGCTGACACAGTGATATTTCTGATTGAAACTGGCTGAATTCTACTTTAAAATTTAACTTGTGTTGATCTCATAATTCCAAATGATATTTTCATACAAAATATCATAAAAATATCATTTTGAACAACTTAATTAATGAATAAATAAATGGATGAATGATCAAATCCATTAAATGGAATGAATAAAGAAATACCTTGATCAAGTATTTAATTAGTAAAGATATAGAAATTTCACACATTATAAAATATTTTTAACTATTTGCATGAAAACTTGTGAGAAAATAAAGTAATTCAGAAAATTTATTTTGACTTGGCAATATTTCTGAATAAACATGTTTATGAAAAAATTCTTTACTATTTCCAAACATGTTATGATATAATATTATTGATCAACATGTATATGAATAACTTTTCAATTATTACTGACAATATCTATGCAGCAATTCTTCATTATCCATAGTGGCCGTAAATTTTCCAGTCGCATTTTGAATGTGCTCTATATAACATTACTATGTACATTAATATATATGAGTATATCATAATAATGTTACTTGATGAGATCCAGGTTTGTTATTATTATCTTATAGCATGATAGAAAAACACATTAGGCAAAATAACATTGTCTTCAATTAAAACTAATCATCAGAAAGCACTGTATTTGTATTATCTAAAGAGTAAACAGACACAGATATACCTTAACTAGATAACCTGATGGCTCTCAGAAATGTATGTTACTGTGTAGAGACAATGGACACAAGCCCAGATTTTTGCATAATATGCAAACAGAATTACTAGTTTAAATACTGAGATACTGAGTAACAATCATAGTTACCAAATAGGGAGCAATTAGGTGTGGAAACTTTTTCTATGAAGTGCTATCTTTTAAATAATGAATTCATCAATTGATAATTTCATGAAAATTCTCTTATTATCCCCAGTATTAACAATATAACTATAATTATTATAACATACATTGAACAAGTTGTGTTTGATGTATTGTATAATAGTAATTGTTGGTGGTAATGTCTGATTCACTATATGCTCTCTATATAGCACTAGACTTTACATCATTTATTATTTATAATTAAATACAATATACCACACTGATTAATATAATCAAACTTTTACATTATATATTTCTTTTCATTTTATATTACAGTACATTATATAAGTACCATTGTCTTAATTACAATTTCCATCAAGTGGAGTTTCTATGAGGGGCCATTCAGAAATGGGTATGGCCAGGCATTGGCTTTATTGGCATTGGATTAAAATTTTTATATTAGTTCTTAAATGTCTGGTGCTGTAAACCCTCAAGACAATTCTGTGGCCTCTTTACAGCCCCTCCATGATTCCTAGAAACATCACTGTTACTATCTGAAGGGTAGAACCAACAAAAACCTAAAGAACAAATTTTTTTTGAAAGCTATTTATATCAAGTGACATATGTGACAACAAGAACTTGCAAATATTTGAAATCATTTTTAGCACTTAAATGACCATTCGCCACAAATACAAAAAACTGGATCTGAGAGCTAGCCACATTGAAAAAACAGCTATTAGAACAGAGGGTGGCTTTTTTTCTACACCCTAGAGGTGTCAAATTATTGTACTTATGTTGTCACCCCCAATCTCTAGAATAAAATATAAACAACTACAAAAATAACAATTCAACAAACTGACACTGGGCAGGCCATCAGAAGTACTGGCTAAGGCATTAGAATGATCTTACCTCCAGGAAGATTCAAACCTACAGCTTCTCCACTCTCAGTTACATCTCAAACTAATCTTAATCAGATTAATTAAAGTTGTTGATGACTGAATACACCCAAATCAAAGTTTGGTGGAAAACGTGCTCATTGATATATACAACAAACAAAGGAATACACTTGAGTAACATTTCCTAGTAGAGGTGTGAATAAGAGAGGAAATAGAACTATAAATAAATGATGACAAAATGAAATATTACTATATGATTGTATGTAAAATTTCCCCATGTTAATTTGATAACACATGGTATATCCTGCTAGAATTTCTATTATATCATCCAATCATTTCAATTATTCATATTGTCTTATATCACCCATTGTTTTTAAATTAATAAGGGCGGGTTAACGAGACTAAAGGCACTTTTACTGTTGTGACATGGAATGTCATATAGCTGCCACAAATATCCTTAATTATGACATGACAGCATCACTTAATGACATAAATCTTGTAATAAATGGCATTTTTCTATGGCAATGGCACCTTATGTCGGTAACTTATAATATTTATGTCAATGGCTTCATGACATGTAAATATCACTATCGGTAAAAAAAACCTTCTAATGTATATGTCAATGACATTATGACATGGCAGTAGCCTTATGTCAGTACACATCTAGTTATTATGTGATTGACATGGCATGGCATTGACATGAAATGACATGGCAGTGACAGCTAATGACATGGCAGTGACAGCTAATGACATGGCAGTGACAGCTAATGACATGGCAGTGACAGCTAATGACATGGCAGTGACACCTATGACATAATATTGACATCTGATGACATGGCAGTGACACCTTATGGCATTACACGACTTATGGTTGTGTCAATGTTATTATGACACTGCAGTGACACCCTATGACATGGCAGTATAACCTAATAACCTCGTAGTTAAAAACTACTAACCCATATATTGAATGACATGACATAATGGTGACACCCAATAAAACCCAGCTGTTATTATACTACTATAGTATCGAGTCGTCAGTAACCTACTACCAATAACTAATGACTATTAATAAATTAAATCTTTACATAGCCTTTTCTTTAAGCAAAGAATCATATGACAAAACCATACTTACTCAGCCATTTTGACTACAAAAGGGGAAGAACAATTAACTTATTGTCATAAATTTGTCACTCTTCCTTCCTCTAATTACTTCTCACGGAACTTGCTAACTTCCTATAGTATGATACACTTAATAAATAATCCAATACTATTGGTCTATTGTCCTGTCAATCACTATTACATCAATGACTATTCACAGGAATCAAAGAGTGTCAACCTCTCAGACAACTGCACACGAGGGAAATGAGAAAACTTAGCATTCATTGATAAAATATGCATGTGTAATACATCCGTACAATTGCTCAATATTTGTGTACTTAACACAATGACGTATGACCTAGTTGTATTGGACTCCTGGGCCGGCCGTATTCATGTTCATTCATGATATCAACCAAATAACCTCCACCCAATCCTTAACTCTAGATAAATTACGTCATTACTGACTACATATAATAGTGTATACACCACACCAAGGTAATATTCTACTTGAAGTTAAACTCTATTACGTAATGTAACTATGATACATACACACGTGAGGATATACCACTAGTTGTAAATTTATACTGCATTATGTATTACCTCATTTCATAGATATTTGAATATCCTTGAATGCATGGAATTTAAAATCGTGTAGTTATTGAGCTATAATTAAATCAAGACGTGATCATAAGTCAAGTGTAATCCTTGTTGTTTGTTGTATTACACTGAGCACGTTTTTCACCAAACTTTGATTTGGGTGTATGTGTCAACCTTATTAAGTCATCAACATCTTTAATTAAACTTAATCAGATTAATTATAGACCATAGTTTAGTAAGTAGTATTAGCTGTTCACTAAAATTCATACTAATT